GATAATTTAGTAATCAGGATTCATACGTGCAATTGCACATTCCAATTTCGTTTCTAGAAAACATGTAATGGATTATTTCACATGTATCAACATTTTGTTAGGTTTTTGATCTCTTCATCGGGCAGAGTTCGTGCGTGCAGTTGCACATTTCAATTTCGTTTTTAGAAAACATGTGTATCATCTCACATGTATTGACATATTGTTAGGTTCTTCATCTCTTGATTGGGCAGTTCTTTTAAGAACTCTCCTTTTCTAGCTCGTTTCTAACTTTTCGATAGCTTCTGCCTTAGATAGGTATTCGAATTCCTCGCCAAAGGAAGGGTGGTTGGGGCGAGGCTAGGGTGGGTCTCCAGTCGCAGCAACCTCCTCGCGGTGAGACCTGGGTCATATTATTTACTATGTAATTAATATAATTATTAATTACATAGCAAATAATATGAGCTAATGGCTGCGTTCTTCTTATAGTTCCACATACCTTCTTCGCCCTGCTGTGCGGTCTGATAACACTGATTTCGAGTCGCAAATACGTTTTTGCCGAGTTAGTTTTTAAATAAATAATATATTACAATTTAAAATCAAAAATAGAGGATTTGCAGTGTATTTATCAATGAGATCCTTACGTATTTTAATAATTTTGAAATCTTTAAATAATCTCAATCGATTGGTTATTCCAATGAAATTAATCGATTGATGCTCAATTCTGGACTGTACAGCTTTCATTCTGTTAAAAAATACTAAAATTTCTGTAATTTCATTTTCTGTCTCACTTCCTCTTGTGTTCATTTCTGAATCTGTTGGTAACGTTGCGAGTGACACGGAAATGGTAATATGGGCTCTGGAGACCCAGAAAAATGGGCCGAAAAAATACATTGGGTGGTAGGTCTACTCGTATAGCTCGTCTGTGATTAGACTTAATCCACACATATGATCTTGTTAAATTATAATTCCTATCGCTTGTAACAGTATAGCGTGACGGTATCTTTCGATGCTTTGTCGGTTATATGGCGTGCGATACTAAAATGGTATGCAAAAGTTTCCATCGTTTGAGTATAGATGATCCTGTATGTTATTGCAGACAATATTGCAATACTTTTTTGTTCTTTTATGTTGGCTTTTACATAGTTCTAGTTAACCTTTATCGAAGAAATATTCTACTTAAAATGACTATGCGGTTTACAACATATCAGTAAAGAGATTTCTTATAGAAACAATGGAAACAGGCCATGTACTCTTTTTACCTCCCCACCCACGGTCTTATGCACAGATAGTCGACGTTCTGTCACAGACATCGTGTTATCGAGTAACGAGCGATCATTTATATGCACGGTGCAACAAGTCCTTCGCTATCAAATGCGTGTTGATTGGGAATGCAACTCGTCACGAATTTCACTAGCATTTCAACAGCGTAAGCCTCGTTGCTATATGCACCGCGCCTGTCACTTTTATTTTAAGATTCTCGTGTCATTCTTTACGAGCCTTTAATCGCGGTGCATTTAATGATTTACAAAGCAAGAGACATTAACTTAATTACCCACGAGTGTTCCTTATACTAGATCGTTTCTCAAACTATCGTCACTTGGGGGAGGTTAACAACATTATTTATCTCATAAAATTAAAATTTCTATCGTGCAAATGATTTGGAAGTTGAATCGACCCTTTCTATTTTTTCATATTTGTGGACTCAGGTTTTGACGTCGCCATTTTGGTGAACGGCCCCCTATTACGCGATCACACATCGTCGAGCTTGTGTGTTTTACTCTCAAGTTCAACGTAATCGGAATGGGTAGCGAAGGTAACCACTTGACTCGTAGAACATACTGTTGAGTCATACTACTTGGGCGTAGAAACGTCGACTTCAAACTCTTCCTAAAGTCTCAACAACGGGGTCAAGGATGCTTTCGGTAGTCGATTCCGCTTCTACGGTGGGTGCTTTTACGCCAAAGCGTTTCCTGCTGCCATTGAAACAACCTTAACCGCCAGCTTTTGTACTTGCAGCGGGGAAACATGATCCAAAATCCGCGTCTTTTGCACATTAATCTCGAACCAGCTTTTATACTAGCTCCTTTACATTAGAGATAAGAAAAGAAATAATAGGAAAGTAGCTTATTTTTGAAGATAGAATAAACTGGACAAATTTGGTTATTTTATTCTAATAATTTTGTGACCTAGCAACGAATATATTTAAATGTAACACACTGTACGTACATTTGCTGGAGTAAATTGCACGGTAAAAATTGAAGGCCTGATATCTGTAATCAAGTTATAGATAAAGATGCGTGTTTTCGAGTCGCGTGGTAAGCAATTATAGTTGTAACGATTACGTAGGTTCTCGATAAAAGAAAGAAGAAATGAAAATGTCCTACTTACAGAGAATTTAATAAATATTTCTAAAAGAAACAGCTTGTTCTAACAAGCTTAATTATTAAATTTAAAGAAGATATAAATATCAGGAGAAAAAGCGTAGACAATAGTTGGAAAATGATCCATCAAATATAGAGATGAGGTTCATGGAACGAATGATGGAAAGTGGATGAGAAAAATAATTATTTCCGGGCGGATGGTAGAGGAAATGTAGACTGTAGCTAGAAAATGATACGTCAAAATGAATTCTAACGATAAGAAGAAATGAAATCCGCGGAACAGACGATGGAAAACGAACGAGAAAAATAATGATTTTCCGTGGGTGGATGAAGAAAGTAGGTGATAGCTAGAACATAGTTGAAGGTGTTGCTAGCTGTAGGTGGGGATGATGTCGGCAGCGGACGCGGTGGTGGTTCAGTTTCGTTCTCAGTCTCATCCAGGCTGGAATCGCGGTGATGAGCGCGGCCAAAATACATTAAACGTCGCGTCCCGTGAAACAAATTTCGCGAATCGATACAGTTTACGTGGAAAACGAACTGGTCTACGGATATAGTGCGGCGAATCAGTTGAAAGGTGACTGCCCGTACTAATTAATTATTTATATAATACGAGATTTGCATCTATCATCGTTCACGATTCGAATTACTGTCCATTATTAAAATTAGCAGCTCCGTAATAACGGAAATTGTTTCGAAGTTTCTGGGGTGAAAAACGAGGGTGGAATGTACAGTAGTAGACAAGTATTTCGTAATTAGCTGGTGGTCGATAACGGTATTAAATGTTTAATAATTGACGATGCTCTTTTTGCTCAAATTTCCCAAGATAAAAAATAAAAATTCGTAATATCTTACGCTGAATACAGTAATAATTACATTTGTTTATTTACATTTTAGCAAACACTGATTAATTTTGTTCCTAATGTCTTTTCAGAAAAGCTTTGAATAGCTGAACAAATTGTTTTATTCTTTCGTGCAATGTCCATAATTTTATCGACTTAAATAGGCATTCATAGATAAACATTTCGCTTCGATATCGATAATAAAATAGTTCCAAGCGACAATTTGTTGCTTCCACGATAAAACGTAAACTGTTCGAGCAATTTGTTGGGAATGTTATCATTGGCATTCTGGAAGATAACGTTTACTCTTCTAAAAATATATACAAATTCTGACGTAATCCACTTTGCTTATCGAGAGGGTCTTTGAAACCTCAACCTTGGGCCTCGAAAGTCTTAATTCGTCCCTGAGACTGCTGCACGAGATTAAACGTTGTATATTACTAATATCGACGCAATTTTCATTCAGTAGCCCGTTTATTCGACGTGACGAAACTCGGCTATTTCGAACCAAGTCGTAACACCGTTGACGTAATGGCCGAATAAAACTAGACAGAAACTAAGACGCTGACGTTGTTAACTAGCCTCTCAGGAGAGAACGATACTCGAATACAAATAGAATCTTCGTGGAACGGGCGTTCACTGGCCAGAGATAAGAGGGAACGACGTTATTTCAACAGACGGTTCGCGTGCGCCGTTTGTTATCAAATATAACGATGCAGTTGCACGCGAAAACGCCTTCGCCAGGAATCTTGTATAAGGTAGAGTCAGGTCTGGGTTAATTCTCGTACGTTGCAATCAGGAAAGCACTCCTACAATACACTGCAAACGTCAAACATCATATTTTTCACGGAGTGAAAATGTAGTTGCCTGACTTTATGTCATTTACAAACTTTGATTAACGAAGGACTCAGACATCAAGTTCAACGAGGTTTTCGTAGGAGATATTTTATATTTTTTTCTTTCAATTAGAATATATATTCGTATCGTCAAATTCATTCTAATCTATAAGTTCTCTAACTCTAGCTGAGGAATCTGAAACCCGTAAATTAGACAGATTCCGTAAATCTAGCGTTAAGAATTTGTGTAAGCAAAATTTGCAGACCAGCGACGTGTATGTACGAGTTCATTGACCACGTGGATGATTTACTTAGATCGTCCGTGAAAGATCAAAAGTAGTAAAACGATATTTTCTAACCAGCCCCTTTCTTTTAAAATACTCCTTACGAATCGTGAAAATTTATCTTTTTCGAAATTGAGTCTCTGGCCATAAAAATTTAGAAAGTGTCTCGGAGTAATGAACAAAATTTTTTGCAACTTCGGTCCATACAAGCTTAGTCCATGAAAGTTCTGTAGGGGGTGCGATTTAGGCAAATTCACCCTAGGAAGTTGGGTTCAAAAGGATCCCAGTCATCGCCGTGTCAGGGTTAAACGGACCTTGGACGTAATTTAGCGATAATTAAAATTGTTGGCCGGAATTATAAATTCCCTTTGCGACCCTTCCGGGTTAGGAGCGTCAAATTTCGAATGGAAATTACAGGGAATCTCTTTAGAATATTTTAATCGTTTCGTTTTCGCGATGAGGCGAGTCGGTTGTTAGAACCAGCCCCCCGCGGCTCTCATTTTGGCTGCAGCGAAGGGTGAAACGCAGTTTCAAAGATATATTGGGAGGGTGACTGCGTGCTCCCTGAACGAGGAGATCGATATAACACATGCGCCTTGCGGCACAGAATCCTTCCTGAAACGCGCGTTCAACAGCTTACCGACTTGTACACAAAGCCCAGTGTTCTCTCGCCACTTCTGTCGCGATAGCTTCGCTACGTTTGATCCTAATATCTCGTTGGAAAATATTTTATTCGGCTCGTTGACGACCGTCCACTTCCGTCGAGGCGTGGAGTTTCATCGATCGCGGTGATTCGCCTAAATTTCGAGCATGGTGCAGCAGTGACTCTTCCGTTGTACCTCGTGACTCGAAGCAGTTAGACGCAATTAGCTTTCCTGGCCTTCGATTTCTTCCTCGAGAACCTTTGAATCGGTGAGTTCGAAGCAGCGAAAAAAGTGAAGCACAACGTGCTGTTTAGAAATGCAAAGTGTCCTTTAGAAGTCGTTTTCGTGGGGCGTAAATGTAAGGAATCAGTGTTATCGGAGCTTGTTCGGAACGTAAGAGTAATTTTTAAGATGGAGCACAAAAATCTGGTCTAGAGAAGTCTACTCTGAGAGGACGTGTCTTGATGTGAAATTTCATTTCATTTCTCTGTTAAAGTTAGCTCCAAATGAGAAGTGGTAAAATTTGTAAGTCGTACGGAAGTCTACTCTAGAGAAGACTGCTCTTGGGAAGTGCTCTAGAGAAGTATACTCTATAAAAGTCTAGCCTAGAGATGTCTACTCTGTAAGCATACTCTAGAGAATGTCTCTTAATTTAAAAATAATGTTTCACTTCATGAACCAGGACTTCATCTTAATTTATCTTAAATTTATTATACTTGTGTATATTATGAAAATGTAAAGCACATGTTACGTTTCCAAGAAATGCTCCAGAAGTCCATAATTATTTCGTTTATCGTTTCCTAGAACCGGTAGGCTTATTAATAGAACAAGATTTCATCTTAACTTATCATTTAGAAACAGTCAACAGTTGTCTGATTATGTAACTGTGTCATGTGTAAAGCTTTTGCATTTACAAATTAATTTTTTCGGTTCAAATATTAATTTTCTTGTAACTTTCAAATATTATAAATATTTAAGCAACATGGGCGCACAATGTGGCTATGTCAAAAGTCGAAAGGCTCGACTTGTTTTTGTAAACGCGAGACAAGTTGTTGAAATCGTTTTTGAGAGGATCGTCGATTTTCTGTATTGTTTATTTTACGGAGTCGAGCCTTTAGGCTTATGACACGACTATATGCTAACACTGCGGCGTTTCGACACCTGATCGGTATTACTTAATAGGTCCCCCGCTTTCTGTTCCTTGATAATTGCGTTAACGTGGTGTCGTCGTAATCTCTATTTATAGTCATGAAACAACGCCGTGCCTTTCGCGGCCTTCCGCGATTTACAGTCGTCCAAAGTCGAACTCACCTGCGATCGAAATGATTCCTAATACGTTTACTTACGATTGCAACGCGTTATTGTGCTTCAAAACACGAAGTTACTAAAATAATCCCCTTTCCTTTCGATTTTGACAAAACCCTATAGGTTCATAGAACGGTAAAAAATAAGGGATACGTATTTTTTTAAACATCGATAAGTCAAATTTAAGGGGTTGAAACTACCCGTCAAAGTTGGAGTTTTAAGCGCTGCGCCGTTTCATACTATTTTTATATTATCTTCGGTACGATTGAACTTACACAAAAATCGTTTAAACAAATTCTGCATAGTTTTTGACAGAGAATACTATGGTGCACTCTTTGTTATCAATTTTACGTCTAGTATTGGCTACCCACCATTTTCTAGAGGGAATACCTTCAATTATTCGCTGTATTTACTTCTTAGTTGAAACAGTTAATTTAGTTTTCTTCGCTTTTAAGAACGTTTGTCTTTTGCACCTGCCTTGGCGCGGTTCTGCACGCAGGATTTAATCGTCGTTGAGCGTAACGCGATACCTGCAACCTCACGAATCAGATCGGAGGCTGGTTTTCCAGAGGTATCGTGTTCACAGGCGTGAAATCGTAGCACGAACAGTTTTCGTCCTTGGACGGGCGAAAACGAACCGATCGGTTCGATTAGACGATCGCGCCGCGTTCGACATCACTGGATCACGCGAATTCTCAATCACGAGGCTTGTCGAAATGTTTGAACGATACGCGATGATCAGTAATGGGACGAGGATGATTGAGAAATCGAACAGTCTCTGCTCGCGAGGAAAAGATGGCCACCGCGTATCGTGTATCCCCTCGAAGCCGTACTTTTGTGAGCAACGTTTCTTCGTGTCGTTTAAAGTACCGAAGATATTAAGGCGATCCGTTTGCAGGTTTCCTTCTTCCCGTAAAATTGTTCGAATTATCTTTTCGAAAGGCACTTAGCTTCGTCAATTTGTACTATTTCAACAGCCAAGTCTATTGGCTTGCCAGAAATTGTCGCAGTCGAATAATTGAACAGGGAATACTCGTCCCTCGAGGCTTTCCCAGAAATCAGAGTTAGAGTTTTCCATTGTTGCCTCCGATCCAACGTCTGTGACAATAGCCCAGGTGGGCACAATGCCATTCAGCAAATAAACGACAATGGAAGGACCTTATCGTCGGTAGCTCGTCGATTTTTCGATGTATACATCGCGGACGGTAATAATTAAGTAAATTGGAAGCCATTGTTCTCGATTCGTCGATAAGATTTCCTAAAGATTATTCCGTATCGTGTAGAGGAAACGAGTTTTAAAAAATGAAAGAATATAGTTTTATTTCGTTTGGCCCAGTAACGAAAATGGTTGGCCACCGCTGAGGGTAGAAGGAACTTCAACGACCCCTGATTTTTTCATTAAAGCGTTAGTGTCAATTCCAGGGGATCGTCTACGGGAATTATGTTAAATCGATAGCCGGCGTTAGTTGACCTCAAAACGTCATCGACGTGTCTGTCAGACGCTAATAGCGCGAACGGTGTACCTACATGTTTCACATGGTGATACATTTGTCGTTTAAACTTGACCCTGACACGCTACTTATGCAGTTTACGTTCTTTCGAACCATATTTTTTAAAATTAAAATTGTCATAAAAAATTAAAAATCAAAAGTTGAGTTTTATACGTTGTTAAATAGAAACTGTATTTCTCTGTCTTAAATGCTACTGAAATACCTAATTATAAAGGATTCAAAACCTCCATTATAGCAAAATTTCTTTAACATTTGTTTTCCATGAAGTTTCAAAAAATTATTCAAGACTATCAAATAATAAAATTGTAGTAAAAATTGAATTTCCTTTTTAGTAAGTTAATTTATTGAATATTATTTGACTCGATGAAAATATTATGCATGTTCTTAGTAATTGCTTGGGGTAAGGATAAACTGCCATAAGGTTGCTACTTCGTTTCATGCGACCTCACGTCCCTTTCGAGAAGATTTGGCGTTATAAAATTCCCTCGAGACGTCGTGAAAGCTTCAGCAGGAAGGGTGTAAAACGTCGATAACCATAAACCTTCCTGAGGGTTTGGAACTCTTTTTATAGCGAATCTGGAACTGCCTAACCTAGGATTTCCCATCGTATTTCTGTTTCCAAGTCCATCGAAGTGTGCGTATTCCCAAAACTGATGCCAATTTTCAAGCAAAATTTTTTTGAAATGTTCGATTTTTCGCAAAACACTTGAACTTGAAACAATGCCTCAGACATTGAAATACTTCGACGTATTTCAACTTGTCATCGGATCCATACTACTGCTAAATTTTTAATAGGTGTCTTTACAACGAACCGTCTTTGAAGTCTTAATGACACGTTTGTCAGCACGATAAACTACTTTCAACCCTTTGCAAATATACACACGTATAACCATTTGATAAGTGGCTCTCGTAGGAATCAATGTTTATAACTTCAACGATGGTCGTAAACACAGGCACACATTAATAACCTAAATTTAACTCTAATAAAGCTTTGCTCGTATAACATTTCTTTCTTATTTGGAATCAATTTGAATCGTCGCAGCCTCAAAAAACTTCGAGCCATTTCGATGCTGCGATTCGAACAGTCCATTTTCCAAACGCTGTGACCCGAAAACGGGGTCAGATAGAACGAACGACCGCGATATCGCCTCCGTTGCTGTCCTCTTTCGAATTCAGCTAGCGTGCAGCTTTCGTGTTGTGAAATTTCCAGACGCAAGGATGCAAGCAGAAAAGACCGACAACGAGACGGAGAAGGTAGAGCAAAATAACGTCGACGGGGAGAAAAATGGAGCCGAGGGGGCTGAAAACGGGGCCAAGGCGGAGGGAAACGACGCGAACAAAGAGTCCGCGGAGGTGACGAACAAAACGTCGAACCTGAAGATCGAGGACGACACCGGAAGCTCGACGCCCAGCAGTCCGGGCGCCACGCAGCCTGGCAGCTTTTTGGCAAGCTTCAAGGCGTTTTCGAAATTCGGTGACCCGAAAAGCGACGGGAAGCTGATCACGCTGAGCCAGAGCGACAAATGGATGAAGCAGGCGAAGGTGATCGATGGCAGGAAGATCACCACCACCGACACGGGGATTTACTTTAAGAAGCACAAGTGAGGCGCTTAGAAATATTTAGGAAACAAAGTTTGTTAGCATTTTTTAATAGGACTGGTAACTAAAGCATGCCTCGTTAGATAGAATTTTTACGAATTGACCATCGAATATTGTTTTACCATGAATTTTACACGTCTAATTCATCGACAGATCCACGAAGCTGGGAGTCGAACAGTACAAAGCATTTCTGGAGGAGCTGGCCAAGAGCAAGAAGGTGGACTTGACGGAGATGAAGAAGAAAATGGCACACTGCGGACCACCGGGAGTGACTGGCGCTTCAGGAGTAAGTGTTTCAGTAGGAGGTCCTCGAGATTTCTATAATTCGTATCTCGTCGTTTCGTTGTTTGCCCTCGTAAAATAAAGTTATAACGAGCACACGACATCGTGGTTAACACACAGTGTGGACGTCAATCAATATCCATAAACTTCGCCCACGATTTCATAAATTAATCGAGGGAAAAAGTAGTACGTCTTTAGCGACCTCGTCCATCGTGATATCGACAGCGAAGATTTACAGGCCTGACCTTATAGACACCAGCAATAAATCTTTAATCGGCGATTCGCGTCGCCCACGTGTCGCCGAGCATCGCAGTCTTTCGCGTTAATTAGGCCAATAGTTCGCTTGGAACGACCTTCAAGGACGATTCTCGAGTATTTTTTAAATTAAAGATTCAACGACCATTCTGGAAAAAAAGATTCCTCAAAGGAGACAGAAGTGTCCGCCGTCATTTATTAGCCAATTAACGTCCCTTGTTCGTTTAGAATTGGTATTGAGAGTAAACAATTTTTTTAGATGGGAAAAGCAGCATCCACCGTGGACAGATTGACGGACGTCAGCAAGTACACTGGTTCCCACAAGCAACGTTTCGACGAGACTGGAAAGGGCAAGGGTATCGCTGGTCGGAAGGACCTGCCCGACCAGTCCGGCTACGTGCAGGGCTACCAGAACAAGGACACCTACAATAAGGCCCACTAGCCCCCGATCGCGTGCTCCTGTGATGTCTTCGACACTCTGTTGTCCCGTCCACGCGCTTCACGCGAAACAAACGCGTCGTCGTGCTGTCGTCGCGTTCTCGCCTCGTCTTCACTGGCGTTCTTCCTGGCGTCGCAGCTCGCTTGAACAACACCGCTGGCAATCAAGGTCGATCGACCAAGTCCCATCGAACGAACTGGAGCACACTCCACCGGGGAGTGCGATGAACGTCAAGAGCTTCACTGGTGATATTTCGCGATAAACGGCGATACTAGGTTGCCATTGGATTTCGTACAGTAAAATCAGATTCACGCCATTTTCTATCGGGCAATCGCTTATTTAAACATTTTTAAATGTTGAGAACACCTTGTATGTGTCTCAATCTATGCTATCTTTTCTCTTGGAAGTTAAGTTGTAGTGTGCATTTCTTAATCCAAAGTATAGCAGTACATGTTACTTAACATGTTCATTACCATCATTGGCTAGACTTATATTCATTTTATTGTATTGACGCCTTCAAAACGACTACCTAGTGTACTTCGAGGGAGAAAAGGTAGCATGAAGCGAGCCTACGCCATTGAATGTACAGACGGTTGGCTGACGAGTAGCGTGAATCGGACTTGATCCTTGAGACATTAAAACGCACCATTCTCGCGTCCGACATTTTGTATTTGAGAGGCCTCCTTCGAATGCAGGAATTTAATCCACAAACATTTCTGAAATATACGTCCAAATACGACTTGATTTTATACGATTACTTCGACTAGCAAAATTTAGGAAACCCTTCGTCGGGATATAAATTTTGCAGAGTTGACCTAGTCGCGTAAAACCGGTCGATCGAGTCTTATTTGCACACAGATTTTAGAAACGTTTATGGAATAATTATATCGACGAAGCTCGAAGAAACAACGGTGCATATTTGAGAAAGATTTTTGTTCTCGAAGACCATCGGCACCCCGTCTGGGCGAGACGATAACATTTTTTAATTCTCGGCACTTTTCGTGCACAAAAAATTTCGTTTTCTTACAACGTTCATTTTCTATGACAATTTAATATCGAGTTTTCTATTCGTTTTTTATTCTATAACGCACCCGGCCGTCGACAGGAGCGCGAAATGTTTCTTGCTAGGCGAACGATTTCCAGCGCGATGGCGGTTCGAGACTAAAAGACGCACTTGTTGCATCCGTTATCCATACTTTAGCGCGCGAGAAACTCGATCGTCGAGTTCGGATGACGCGAGAAGCGAACAGGGAAATGGGTCAGTGCAGTTTCGTGGACAGTTTTCCTGCGACGAATAGTTGAGAGAGGATACCTTGTGCGATATCCAAGCCTGAGAATGTTGTTTCTTTTCACGTAATGTACAAGCAGTTCAACAGGGTTGCAAATACTACAAATATGGAATGTATTCTATCCGTTACAGAGGTGCTTGTTAGGAGATGACTACGTTGTATTTACAGTTCGTAAATGTATGCTCAATCGAGTCGCTTCGAGTCTCTGGAACCGACGATACTTGTTAGAATCTTCACTCGAACGCAGGATGAGCAACTATGCCTGAAAGAAAATTTCTAGACGCCAACGTAAGACGAAAATTGGGAAGTATTTTGTTCTTGAGATTTGTCTTATTTTGGTGTTTAGAATCGTCCCTTAAATTTTCTCCCAGCTGTAGTCGGGTATCCTGTTTGCTTAGACGCCGAAATTCTTGTAGATGCTGTCTTCGAATCAGTTGCGGAAGGGGAAAGAATCGCGATACGAATTTTACACGGTACAAAGCGGTAGGTCTGGGCAGAAGCACCACACCAATAGAATCTCCGTACGAGCGTGGCGCGTAGTTGTTCTTGATCGTGCAAAGTGTACAGCCGACGATCGTCTTACGTAGTATACGAGAATCGAATTTGTGATCGAGCGAGGCTTGAGATATTTGCGATTATTCTTACGACATTTACAATATATACGTAATCGATTAAAAAGTGTACTTAAACGTGGCTGCCAACGCGATGGCGGCGGGTTCGAGACCAAAATCCGTATACTTGGTACTAACTCTTGGAGATATTTAGGCGAACTGTAACGGAAGATACGCTTGCGAAAGCGGTAATGTTTTCTCGCTTAATTGTTAAAAGGAAAAACAGAAAAATTTTGAAGAGCTGTAATCCCTTCTAGCCTATTTTCTATGAACATTTTTCCGATAATAAGATTGTCGTCGATGTTACTTCCGAGGTTAAGCGTTCTTTTTCTTCAGATGTTTAATTCCGGGGGATTGTCACACTTCTGCGAATATGTCTTCAATGTATCCATAACGCACTTTTACGAGTTCTCTCTAATCGATGTACACTATTTAGGGGACAACGTACCTCGATCGGTTCTCCCGAACGAAAAAGACGTTCGATCATTCGGAACAATAAAGAAGAGTTGAACGAAACCGGTAAGTTTATTTTCTGACATTCGTCGCGTTTACTCCTTTCGTTGTCGTTTCTCAAGCGTGGAGCAATTACGGTGTGAAAATAGGAATAACGTAGATCGAAAGATGGTAGTAGAAACAGAGACGAGCATTTGTTCAATAAAAAGTTCGTTTATTTCGGACATCTGTGCTCCAAGGCAGAGACAAACAACATCGTAGCTGTAACCAAAAAGCCTATGCAAGTTCGCTGCAGGCCTTCTCTATTATAATTAAAATAAATCGAACACGCGCCGACGTGGGCGACGATCGAATCGCGACGCTTAACGCGATCCGACAGGTTACACAGGAGCAGGTGTATTAAAATGTGTGGCAAGCGAATGCATTATAAATATGATCAACGAGATCGTCGCGTGCAACGTGTGTACTCTCCTTCTATCGGTTCGATTTTCTAACAGTGGAATATATTGACGCTTCTCTACGACGAACGGTGCCCGTCGCGCGTTCCGTTTGTTTTTTGTTTTTTTTTTTCTTCTTTATATCTTTAGATATGCATACGTTCGTGCACACGGTGGTTCACGTTACAAAAAAAAAAAAAAAAAATACTGAGAGAAAGAGTAAGAAAAAGAAACAGAATTAAATAACTTTCATTAAATTACAACGACACTAGAAACCAATTTTCATACGCGTAATATAATACAAATATTTATATATATTTATACTATATATATATAGAAAAATGTATATATATTAAACTCTGAACATCGTACAAAAACCCTACACGTTCATGCAATGCAATTGCATACAAAAGAAAAGACGTTGGTTCGCGTTGCAGAAGACGCAAGGAAAGGAATTTCTTTCGACGCTATAGTCAACAGGACACTTTCGTTCAGATTCGGTTATTGAACGTTGCTCCAGGACAGCTTAGATCCAATCTCAAGGCCACTTAACGTCGATCGGAATCGACGTCCTAACTTAAATATCGACGGCAACGAATCGAAGCTCGTCGGGAACGTTCGAAGACCATCGTAAACAATGGCGACTATTCCCCCGATAAAAAGGGGTTGTCTTAGAAAAGTTTGTGTCTTTTGCGAGTGAAACAGTAACGTTACAACTCGGTGAGAGTATCGACCGACGCTCGAAGCCGGGATCTGCTGACGGAGTCGTCGCATCCCTTGGTGATCTCGACGTCGTCCAGCCGAGAGACTATTTCGTCCCTCAGGGCGACGAGCACGCGTCGATCCTGTCGATTCTGCGGCGGCGCCATCTGAAGAGCCTCGTGGACGTCGGACAGGGCGTCTTCCAACAATCCTGAGTCGACTCGCGCTTTCGCCCTGGCGTAGAAAGCCTCGTAAGACACCGGGCGAACCTTCAGAGCCTCGTCTGCGAGCTCGATTGCTTCCGCACATTCCTGCAAGAAGATGACTTCGTTACGTCACACTTCAGTCACTCACTGAATTTGATACGCAAAAGGGTTAATTTGGAGTGCAAAATCTGTATCGAAAAAGTTCTAATGTCAAGCATCTTGAAGAGTACCTTAAGCTAGAAATTCAAAGCAAATTTCTTCGTGTACGTTCATATTGCACAACAGCAGAGCATACAATGAACGATTGCAAAGAAGCACTCACTATCATAGCTGCCTATTTAGAGACTGTTCTAATTCGTTGCGCAACCGAAAGTACCTAGAGCTTACACCTGCGCCATTTTGCAATCGGCTAGTACAATTGATCGACCAAAAGAAGCGTGCAGAGTTGAACGACCACTCACATTCATCTTGCGCTTGCATCGACTGAGATTGAGCAAGAAATTGAGCCGTAGTTGCGCAAACGTCTGCAGTTGCAGCATCACGTGACCCTGCTCTTGTCCCTGGCAGTCCTCCTCGGGCGATGCCGGGAATTTCCTAAGGGCGTAGGCGTACCTATGCGACGCCTCCTTCAATCTGTTCTTCCGGTACAGCACGTTACCGTCCTCGAGCAGTTTGTTCAAGAGTATCAGAAGAACGTCGGGCTTCCCGGCCGCCATCGCCCAGGTGGCTGGTCCCAACTTCGCCCCGCGACGGAGGAAGCACTGCACCACCGGTATGTTTCGACACCCGATGGCTCGATCCAAAGGTCGCATTCCGTGCAGATCGACGTGCTCGACCGCTGCTCCTTTCTCGAGCAACAGTTGCACGAGCTTCGGATTGCCCTGGGAAAATATCAACAGCCGCAGTTAGGCGACCGTTTGGTCTTCAAACGCTGGAACCGCCGAAGCAGTCAAAGTAACCCATTCGTAATTTCACAACACGACATCGAACGTACATCAGAATAAAACACTAGAGAAGATATAAAGATATGAATTTACCTGGAACGCGGCTAAATCCAAAGGAGTCCTGCCAGTGTTGTCGCTGGTGTTGACATCCGCACCGCGATCAATGAAATTCTGCACAGCAGTCAACCTTCCTCTCACGCAAGCCCAGCAGAGAGCAGTGAGTCCTTCCTTGTCCCTGCTCTCCAGTATAGATCCCTTGTCGAGGAACAGTTCGATCAAATTCGTGTGGCCTTCGGAGGCTGCCAGCATCAACGCAGTACGTCCAGCAGGGTCTCGTTGATCCAGAAGCGTCACCGCATCGTCCAAGATAGTATCCGTGCTACTGGATAGGGTTCCTGTACACGTATTCCCATTAAAGTCGTTGAACGTAGATCCTTTGCAACTTGCCAAACGAGGATACGAACCTTGTAGGAGTCTTTCTGCGGTGCCCCAGTGCCCTTCTTTCGCTGCTAATATCAGAGGAGAGAGTCCCTTTGCATTCACGGCTGTTGGACTCGCTCCACGCGCCAACAGAGCGGAAACTGTGGACGTGGAGCCATTTGCAGCCGTGATCGTCAAAGCTGTTTCGCCTATCAGAGTGTCGGGACGATCCACGATCACCTCCGCCATGTCCAATAGGTACTCTACGATGGACTCGTGGCCCTGAGCGGAAGCAGCTACCACAGCCTGTTGGGCAGCTTCCTCTCTGCTTATGTCCTGAGAGTTGTCAGGCTCGATTTCACCGTTTGGAACGAGCCAGTCGCAGGCCAGGAGATAGCCGACCACGGATAGTCTCCCGTGCCTCGCGGCGTGAACGAGAGGACACTGTCCAGCCATGTCTGTGTGGCCCAACGACGCTCCAGCGGCGGCCAACCTAATATCGAATTATTAGTTTGAAATTGGGTAAAATGTGCATCCTCGTGGTTAAACGACTCCTCACCTTCTGACTACGTCGCAATGGCCGCGGGCAGCCGCCAAAGACAGGGCAGTGCAACCCTGGCTGTTCGTCAGCTCGACGTCAGCACCGAATTCCAATAACAACGACACCATTTCGACCGAGCCCTCGTGAGCGTACATGCAAAGGGCCGGGGCGTTGCCCAGGTACTCGGTGATGTGGTTCGGAGACGCTCCCGCCAGCAAAAGCAATCTCGATACCTTGACGTTCGGACTGTAGATGTTTCGAAGGGTGCACAACGCGGACGAGACGCATTCCGTGGACGACGTCAACCATATGGCCTGCAGAAGCAATAGCGTGTTTTGCAATCGCGTGTATTTCTTCAGCCCATGTAAATGAGAACAGGTGGTTACCTGCAAATCGCGTGAAGGCCAGCACGGAGCGACGCCTCTGTAGACGTGCGCCTTCAATATGTGATGACCCAGTTCCAGTGCTTTATCGCCGTCTAACGGTGCCTGAAGGCGGGACAGCCTGTACGCGATGGCTGCGTGACCGAGCCTCAGATCGCAGAGGAACTTGGTCGATTCTCCCTCATCCCTTCGCATCAACCACTCCCTGAACGACGGATGGAAGAACATGTACGTGTTGTCCAGCCGTTTCACGAGGAATCCAGAGAGCATCTGATAAAACAATACACGTTACACCGTTTGTAGATCAAATGGGCGGATAAGAGGATAGCGAAACGATTAGAACCAAAAGTTCGATCGTTGAGCATCGGTTTGCTTACTTTGAATCTCTGCAGAAAATCCTCCCACGAAACGAAGCGGTCCGTATTCAGGGAGTTGACGGAATAGAAGATCTCCGGGAGAGTGAGAGGGTAAAGGGCAGCCAGACAAACGCCCAACAACGGTTGGACCTTGTCGAAGGAGGTTGCGGTGGGGAATCTTAAATTGAAGTGGAGCTGGAAAATCTGCGCCAGGGACACCGGCAGTACCTGAAACAAAGATGGTACGCTTATTAAAAACGTTCTCGAGCCGAAACGTATCCCAGTTTATCCTCTTTATCTACCGTGAAAGCGAGATACGTCGACAGATACTATTGTGCTCACCTTGTAGCTCGCAGATTTAGCTACTAAGTGCCCGCTCTCGATAAGATCAAGCGTCAGCTTCGCGAAGAGAAAGCTGCCTCTAGCCAACGAGAGCAGATGCGAGGCGAATCGTGTCTGATTCGCACTGCACGACGATTCCGCCTTTCCGTTCACAGACGCGGTTACGTTCGTCTGGATCGCCGGGCTCTGGGCCAGCCTGTAACCGATGTAATCGGACAAGTCCTTCGAGACGTTGCTTCCGGTGGTGTCGTTCGACATCCTGTCCAACGAGACTCTCGTGTAGGGTAGTTGCTTGGCGCACTCCAGCAGCTGCGTTCGCACTGTACAGATGATCTTCAGCCAACTGGGGAAGTTCGGCGCGTGCCTCGTCAGGAAGGATGCTATTGTGTCGCCTCTGTCCGGTCTGTGGTACTCTGCCTCGCAGACGGCGTCAATTAGTATCACCTGGTAACAGAAGATTCGTTCGCATAAAGTGTGTATAATCACCCATTAAAATTTTTCTTAGGGGTGGCCAAGCACGCTGTATATATTATTACTAATAATAAGTCGCTGTTTTAGGTCCAGGTGATGTGCCCAGACTAGACTACCATTTGGGACAAGTGGAACCTAACTTCCATCCGTTTTTTCAAGATCTACATAACCAACCTTTAATATTCTTCAAGTTTGCAATGAATTCGTTATTGATGAGAAGTTTCTCTATTATAATACTGGAAAGTAACCAAAAATTGGTCCAGCACAGGTGTTAACACTAAATTTGATCTCGTTTGAGAGTACCATATTCGTACCATATTAGTCTCAGGCAGTCTATTCGTCTTTTTTAACGTCGACAGAGGCTCGATGATGCCCCTCGAGAGCGCGAGGTCAGGATCCACGGTGCACTCTCGTTGCGACAGGGAGCCTTGAATGTGAGGTTCGGAGAGCAAGTACTCCCTGTAGGAGATGAGCTGCGGAGCTTGACAAAGCTGGGCGGCCAACGAATGAATCAGATCGGGCACCAGGCAGGTACTGTTGTTGTCCGCTTGGCAGAAATGATACGCTACGACGTGGGACGCCAGCTCTCGAACCTGCGAATCAACGTATCGAATGATTTCGCGTTCTGCAGCATAGTCTTTCTTTAGATACAAATTCAGACCTTCGACGCACCTTTTCGTTCGTGTTACGGATGCTGACGTGTAACGCCGGGGTGCAGCCAGTCTTTTCTTTCTCCTCGGGTTCCTCGCTGATCTCCGATGGAAGAAGTTGCTCCCTCCTTCGTCCAAAGCAACTGTGCTCCACCAGTTGCAGAACCAGTGCGGTCTTTCCGGTTCCTGGCGAGCCGGAAATCAGAACACCCGGACTGGAACCGTTCACCACGGATTCTACTTCGTGCAGCAACCACTGACGACCGGTGAAAAGGGGATCTGTTTCTAGAAGAGGTACCTCGAAGAACAACGGTTTCAGGGTCAGCTGCGTCGCGTGGTGTTGCATGAAACGCACTGGAAAACGATGGATCCAAATTAGACAAATTTAGTGGTGTCATGGTCCATCTTAATATCTTAGGCTATATAGTCTTCAAGACTACAATTTATAAGACTTGATGACGAGTGAGTCGCCTCGCAATTGTGAGACTTGACATCAAGAACTTGCGACGAGTCAGACTCGTCATAGTATGGCAACGAATTAAGTACTCTTAAGAAGAGAATTACATTTTGCATCGACGGCCCCCTTGACGTTTCCAGCTCTGGCGGATCTTCTGGCGCAGGACCGTCTATTCTTGAACTGGCCAAGCTCGTCGGATTGGCCAGCCTGCGAGGCGTTGACGGAATGTCTTCTGGGAGTTAGGGGGCTCGAGCTGCCGTTCGACAGGCCCGAGACGGACACGGACATGGACATCGACATGGACGTGGAGGCGGACACCGACGTGGAGATCGAGGCTAGGCTTCCGGCGCTGTCGCAGTCTCTGGATTTGCTCTTCCCTTTGACCTTCGTTTTGGGTTTTATGGGGCACCGTAACGCGGCAGCGGCCTCTGCTTCGCTCGAAGTGCCGGTCAACGTGGAGACGGGGCTGGTGTTTGTCGAAGCGAGTGTTTGCGTCTCGAAGCTGGTGAGGCTGCTGAAGGAGGCCGCCGAGCTGTCGTGGCCTTGGATGGGCACCCTGGACTGACACCCGCTGGTACCGGAACGATGTGGAACACCGGGTAAATCCGTGGTGTCCACGTTGCTGTTGGTTCGCGCGTGATTAGCGCCCAAGAGGAGACCTAGCCTCATGTAGAGGTCCGACTGCGACGACTTTCGCGTCTTCGAGGACAGAGGCTTCACGCAACCGCCTTCATCGTCTGCAAAGAGAACGTCCAACGTCAGAGATGCTGGAAATATCGGTTTACGCGAAGGATGCAATCGACACAGAAACACACGTATATCGTCACGATGCAGGATCCACTGTACGGGTTTACCTTGGGATAACGTCGCAAGCATCTACCTAAATCGTGTAAAATATTCAGATTTCGTGTGTACGGTGCAACCGGAACGATCTGGTCACGGTTTAAGGATAATCTTTCCGGAATGGGAGTTTCGTGCTTCGAACACACCACACCGCGATCGGCGATAAGGATAAACGACATGCTTCAAACTCGGTTATCAGTGTACTACCAGAAGTGTGAGGAAGAAAAGCCTTAGTAACAGTAAATAGTATAGTCTTGATTCAGAGAATGGGAAAGAAGAGGTAGGGCTTTCAAAGGATCTTTCGATCGTCCTCAACCATCAAGCAGCCTGTGATCAATTTTAAAACACGGCAATGCACACTCGATTCTAATGTGTCTCCCTGCCTGTAACTTTGCTCCTCGAGTCGATCAGCTGGTTCAGCCCATCGTTGGCTGTCCCTTGGCTGTTGCTCCACAACGATTTGATCTTTCCCAGCACTACACCCGGCCATCTTGACTTTCCCTCCCAAGACGAGGCCATCCAAACTGCGTGTGCGTGCAGGTGTCAAGGTTAGTACAATTTAAGCTGTCTTTCCCGACTCCGTTGCATTGTCTATCCTCTTTTTAGAACTCAATTTCCCAAAGAGAATCTTACCTGATAATGCGGATGGATTGTCGTTTGCAACTGGCTCCGGAGACGAGGCTCCTCGCCTGGACGACCTTTGCGTGACGAACGAACTCCTGAGGACCTTTGGATTCAGGAAGAACCTCTTCCTTTGATTCGGTGGGGTTGGACAACCTAGAATACCAACGTTAAGTTAGAGAATTTTTATAATATGAGAGGAGTCTACGATCGTGTTTCGAACGAGGTCAAATAGGAATTAATTTTAATGACCCCTATTAAGATTCACAATTTGCAAGCACGCAGTTCCGAAAAACAGTCGCCACCAGCCAAGATTTTAGTCCGTTGATGTCTACGGTGGTTTACATTTCGCAGTCAGTCTCGTCCAAAAAGCACTCGTTCCGATCGTAGACTTTCCTCGTTAGACGATTTAGCGAGGGTACGATAATTGTTACATACTTTGCGTCATCATTTGTAGCTTCTGTCGTCCGTGAGACGCCGAAGACTCCGGCTGCGCCGGTGGTTTGTTCTTCAGACCCTTCGCCATGGAAGTGATACTTCCGTCCGTCTCTCGTTGCTGGAAAAATGAAGAACAATTTGATTCCATGGACTATGAATTTGGTACTTTTTTCCAATATTATTTGTATAACATAAGATCGTAGCTTTGAATGCCAACTGGCTTAACTAAGATATCGACTACGCAAACGTCGAAGCGTGGGTCGAGTGTGTTTCGATTCTTCAACCACCCACGAAACGTCATTGTAATCGGTGCGTAACGCGTCGCGTTGTTCCCTTGTCAGCACGACAACGATCTCGTCGAACAATAGTTCGCTCTAGACGTTCCAGCGTCTCCTCTCTCGCGCTGGAGAGGAGCCGCCGGTACGTTGAAGAGCCGTGAAGGATCTTCGGGCAGGAAAGTGTTACTCGACTCGGGTCGCGGCTACGATGATGATGCTTACGTGCATGATTCGTGACGGAAGATTGGCTCTCGTGGTGACTTTCGTACGCGGTCTGGGGCTGCCGCAGAGAGAGTTCACCGTCGATGACTCATCGATCCAGCCATCCGTGGGCGCGAGGATGGACATGGGTCCGGAGGAGCCGGTGAACCCGTCCCTGAAGGGTCCCTCCAGGCCGTCGTCGTCGTTGAAGTCGGCGTGCAGACAGAGCGGACAGGCCTCGCTGCGGAACAGGCAGGAATAGCAACGCTCGTGGCCGCAGGAGTCGATCAGCCTGCGTTTCTTCCCTTTGTCGAACGGCATCTCGCAGGACGGGCAGGTCGAGCCGCCTAGCATCCCCGTCGACTCCACCAGCGCTCGGATCTGTGCAAGATCTGCAACACGATGATTGTTTAGCTTGGACTCGCGTTACGGGAACCGCCGAAGCGACTGGGAACCGTTGGACGATACCCAGACGCTGAGAGGATAAACAGGAGCGATCAATATTGATCAATCGGGATATCGCGATAACTGAAACTTTTATGGAAACCGTAGGAACCCCCCAAGAACGTTGAACTCGCATCATGGAGACGCATGCCTTGGAACCGGCGTCGTGTACCGTCGAACGCAAAGAAATGCAATTTCCAGAAACACGACGCGCCTTACCAAACGCGTTCGATCTATATTCCGTAACGATTATCGCCGCGGACGGAGGACACCCAGGAGGCTCGCAAGAAACGCGACAATGGCGAAGAAGAAGCGTCTACCACCATTTTGGTCCGTTGCAGCGAGGCGGGCGCTGGCAAAAACTGCTCCTCACGTGCCACGACTTCCGTGAGACGAATCAAGCAGACGTTCTACTTTAACGAGTCGCGGGGCTCTCGTGGCCGTTTGACAGCGGGACCATCTGTCACGAACAATCTGTACGGGGCCCGGTATCTCGGTTAGTAGAGACACGTCGTGTGTCAGGGAAGCGCCGTTCGTTCATCGATAATGGATAAACGAGCCGTAGAGTCGAAGGCGCCATATACTTAAAGGATTCTAGAAAGTGAGGTCAAGAGGAGACCTCACGTGCTCCTCTCGATCGTCCTCACGTACGGGTAACGCGGAACGAGAACCTGCCGGCGTCCGTCGGCCCTGCTTCTATTTCTGATCCTCCACCGAGATCCCTCTCGATCGATTCCTACCATTCTCCGTGGCTCGTTGTACCGTTCGTCATCGCGGGGAATTTATGGCAGACTCGCGCTAATCGGCTAGGATACCCTCGACGATCGAGAAATTACCTCCCGACGTTTTACGATCGAAGTACAGTATTACCTCGCTAATTGATCGAATTTTTACCCTGGTTAGCGACTCGGAGTCAACGTCGTCCCTCTTCGTTCCGAGAACCCAATTCACGGGTCTCAAAAGCCTTTGAAAACTCAATGAAAGAGTGAAAAATAGATTAACTTTTATCGTATACTTATATCCTGACGTTTTAAGATGTAAGAACAGTATTCCCTCGCTAATTGATCGAATTTTTACCCCAGTAAGCGATTCGAAGTCATCGTCGGCACTCTTGGTTTTAAAAACCTGAGTAGAATTCCTGAGAAGTTTCAGAGGGTGAATAATATTGATCAAATTCCACTAAATCTTATCGTAGAGCTTATCGAGTTTATTTTAAGGGTTCGGTACTATCTGTGCAAATGTTGAGTCGAACGTTTGTTTGCCATTTTCAAGAGTCACTGAACCCCTCGAAAGTTACAGTAGTTTCGTAATCATAGCGGGGGGGACTGGCATTGGTTTGCGAACGTGACGTAATACGAGCCAAATGATTTCATGCTACAATGCTGGCAATGTGCATTCTGCAGCAGGATGGCCACTCGACTGACCCAAATTCAAGAACAGACCCAATGACGCGCACTTAGATACCCGCATATCCACTGGTATTCCTCGGTGATGACTGGAGATTTGAATGCCGAGTTTATTACTTTATAGTGTTCAATAGACGCTAAGTAGGAACTGAATATATTTCTTCGAATCATAAACACATCATCACGTTCCGATGACTATATACCATTGAGAGTCTATAGCTTACTAAGCTCATACTTGTAATGACTGAATCGAATAACACGGCGTTTCGAAATATTTAAGAACGTTCCTCCTATCCTTGACCAATCTACATATATCTAACACGATAGTTAGCGTACGATAATATTTAAAATATTAAGCCTCGAAGTTATTAGATATATCGAAATAATAAACAATTGCCTCCGCGTGTCAGTATTTTGTATAAATGAATTCTAGACGGTATTAATTGGTGCATCGGCGATTCGGGGAAGTTGAACGCTCGCGGAGGAAGGAACTGAATGGGTCGAGGTATGCAAATTGCAGATTAATACGATCACGTTGAGTAGACGAGCCAGTTAAGACGTGGGCGGCGCCTCAACGATCACTTTGTGCAATTGAACAACTCGGGGCGAGGATGTGACGAGTCGGGTACCATTAAATGGCACTCCGCTATTCGAATGTTTAGAGAAACAACGAAACCCTCTGTTGTCCGACGTATCTCTCGAGCACGAATTTCCAGACCTTTATATCGGGTCGTTGCGGAATAATTGGCATTCTCTGTCTTGTAATTTACGCCAAATGGACGCTTGCCAGAATATATACTTCTGATTTTTGCTAACGATCGGTCGGAACTTTCTCGATACGTCTCGTGCTCGCGCCTCTTAATGATATTAGTGGCAAGAGTTTTGATCGTCGAATAATCCCACGTATCCATTCGGTAGGATCACAGATCGATTAAACGATCTTGCAATTAAAAAGCAATAATCGATTTATGAGTTGGATTTTCTGTCTGGTCGGCGCGGAAAGGTAATCGTCCGAATCGGTGTCGGCGCGAACTCGTATGTACGGTCGGTATTGCGTGGAAGAAAAACATGACGGATGAAAAAAAGAAGGAAGTAATTTGGGTCGCACGACCCTTTATCCCGGTAAGTCCGTGCGAGGCAGGTGCAACTCGGCCTGGGTTACCGTAAGCTGGGTCAACGCACCCGACGTAGAGAGACCTCGCTTCCACGGTAAACTCGTACAACGATGTCGTTTTCTCCGGAGGCATCACTGACTCATGCGTTTCCGCCGTGTATCCAGTTTCCATCTTCTCGGCATCGGCAGTTCCTGCGAGATTTATGTACGCGGATGGGCCCCGGAGAAGTCGAAGGTCGAGGAAACGTACGTTAAACGCGTTCTTTTCCTTTCCCGTTTTTACCGGGCGAGCTATTTGCCTGCGATCGCCATGCAGGATGATTCCTCACGAAAAAACACAGCGAAAACGTATCAGACAGTATCCTCCTACGAGCTTTGCTTTCCGAGAAAATCGAGCTCGAAGTACGGCGAAATTGGGCGCGCTTCTTCGAACCTCTGCGCAACTCTCGCGTCTTCAACCTCGATTATCTCGACAACTAACGCTCCTGCGAGAAAATTTCATTCCACACTTTTGATCCAGTTTTTCGAGCACGATCGTGTCCATGAATTTTCATTTCACGTTTTCGCGTCGGTTGCATCGAGAAAAATCGCCATCTTTTTTCGTACTGGATTCCGTCGTCTTTCGCGGTACGACACATTGTCTCGTTCGCTTTTCATCGAACGTTTTTCTTTACGCTGCAACGAACGCTCGTTCTGTGCTTTTTCGCGGCGGTTGTTGATCGTAAATTAAGTGGGAACGGCGGTTTTTGCGATCGTCGAAAGAAACCTCGCAGCCCGTCGCTCGGCTCCGGCTATATTACGCGGTTTTTTCGCGCCGCGGCGATAGTCACGATCCAGACGTTTCACTCGCTGGCATTTTGCATTGTAATTTAATGGTCTTCTTCGGGATTCGGGTTTTTCCCCGTTCGACGGTCGATCTAACAAGGTGAGAACGAACATCGAGGAGGCCTGGAGAACAGACTCCGTGCGCCGCGAACCGTGTAAATCCGGCATCTATTATTCCCACGTTTCCTAGACCGTGACGGTTTATAAACATCAAAGGCTCGATCGAGTGGGAGCTCTTCGCTTTGAAGTTCTTTCCGGCGTTCGTTTCTTTTCGAGAGAGACAGAGAGAGAGAGAGAGGATCATAGGGCAGGACTCTGCCATTTTAAACTTTCTCCAATTATTCCGAAGGCGAGAATGAACCATGCAACGTGGATGCTCCCGTGGAAAATCGCTCAGTTCCTCATCCATACACCCCTTATTACGAAACATAATTCTTTTAATGTAATACCCAAGGATTTTAAAATAGATAAATAATGTGACGCTGATTTGTAGGAGGGCTGCTAGTGGACTCATCAGTAAAGCTTTCTAGCAGGTCCTGCCTTAGACGACTGAGATATTAGGAAGTCGGTCGAGCGCTTGTGAGAGCGCGGCCCCTCTGGTGGCGAGCATGGGAGGCGACGCCACGAATAAAAATACAGAAATGTTTTTCGAATATCTGCCCTCTGTTATACCGATTACACTTGTCATAATGTTATTTATGTTCGTGTAATTTCGCTAATCATTTTTGCCTCGCTTTTTACCCGTTCGATTACCTGGCTGCATCCTGTACCCTCGACGGTTACGGATAATAGGTGTCCCACTATATTTTGTTTATTTCTTCGAGACACTCATTTTCTTTTCCCTCGTATTTACTAGCAAAGGGTAATCCCGTCGATAAATCAAATTAGTCATTACGCTACATCCTACGGTGCCTACAGTTTCCACAGCCAATCGGTTGACCTTTAACCGGAGAAACGCGTCGCCACGGCCTCTACGTTCTATTTCGTTCCGTTCGAGACGATTTACCTTTTAATTTGTTTACCTTCACTCGTGTTCTAGGTAGCTGCGTGCCAGATATTGACGCGCGTCGATATCAATGCGACGAACGGTTCCGCATTCCTCACCCCTTTGGCGAGCCAATCGCCGAACCAGTCCTTGGCGTCATACTTTATAGTTTCGCGGTTTTATTTCGAATAGTGATGGGAACGATTAGGCCTCGATGTCGTTTGACCAAAGGATCGACATGTATGGTAACCTCGAACACACAGTATCAATTTTCATAAAAGATAATAGTTGATTACTTGTTTTCGTTGTACTCTACGAAGTGTCGAATCGGTATTAACATTTTTATAGACGAATCAAATAGATCGTGATACCGTTCGATAACAGGTTATAATTTACGGTCTGGTATCGATAGTATCGATTCGATACCATTCCCATCGCTAATTTCGAGCTCTCGAAGAAACGGTTCTCGGTCGATCGAAATGTTCCACGACGTTATTACAATCCTACCGACAGAGGAAACGAGGTGCCATCGACGCGATTGAAATGTCTTCATATGAAACAGGGATGTAGAGAGGGGGGTGGGAATCAGACTATGAACAAGTTGCTTTGAATTTGCAA